CCCTGCTTCTCCGAGMCGCATCAACTGTGTGTTAAATTAAACCCTAGTCCTCTACAATGGATTGCAGCCGTGTGGTTTTAATTAGCTTTATTTGCGCTAATGACTGCACGCATCTGCTGGGATCGGCGTGGTATTGATTCCTTGGCAATCATGCTGCAGGAATTTCCTTGGGACAGTGCGGTTAGTGAGGGCGGGAGCGCTTCAGGGCGCAGCTTGCTCGCTGCCTGGATGGCCTTGCAAAGTTTGTCTTCGCTGTCAAATTAGCTCATGTTATGGCTTGAGGGTTGCCCTTAAGTTGACTCCCTTCTGCACATAAAGCCCCTTATATGAGCGTGCTGTTAACCCAGGCTAATATGCTGTATTATTGTTAATCTGAGCTCGCAGGAGCAAAGCCTGAGCGAGCACGGCCCACCAGCCGATAACAGGAGCTCTGTGATGGGCAAGTGCTGCTTGTCCTCCCGGGTCTTTCAGCGCCCCTTTCCTTCTCAAATAGCTTGCCGTTCACTTGCAGCAGTGAGTGGGGACCTTCACCTTCTGGTGCCTTGTGTCTTGGTGCTCTCACTCCCTTTATGAGGCACTGTTGTTGCTTCTTGGCCTGAGATGCCTCTGTGCACCAGCAGTGTCCCTAGTCGTTCACACTGGGTGCCCAGGATCTGCTGCACAAGGAGTTGCCCAACTTTGGGCATTGCTCAGTGCAGGAGCCTTCAGCTGAGGCTGGACAGCAAGGCCTAGTGAGTGCACGTGGAGCCTTGAATAATTAAGTACATAGGTTTGTCTTGGGCTGCTCAGCTGAGTTAGGGAGCAGTGGGATGGAGATGGTGGGTGAGCCTCTGGTGTAAGAATCTCTGGCTCTTTATTGGTTATTAGGCTGGAGGGAAGCACTGGGGTGGCCCATGGGGTGGCAGCTGTCCCCGTGTCCAGCTTGAGCTTCTGCCAGCACAGCAGCCGCTGCCGTGGGTCTCGGCAACCCTGCAGCCAGCAGTGAGGATGGCAGGGCTGGTGTGCGAAAGGCCCCTCTGACTCTCATTGCTCTTAATGGCATATGTGCCTCCTTTTTTGGCCGTTAGTTTTAGGGGAAGACTTGAAAAATCCTGTTTAGGGGAAGCTGGGACTGGTTATAGCAGCTGTATGGCTGCTGTCTCCTGTGCCAGGGATAGGGATTTGTCTCGCACTCGAGGAAAAAGATGTTGTAAAGCTGCYGCCTCCTGTGTCTGGTGTGCATGCGACCCCCTGAGTCCTTGCAGTCTGACTGCCTTGTGTTCGCTCTAGTGGTGAGAGGTGTGATGAGGTGCAGGGCACTCAGCTGTGCCCTTTGGAAAGGGGCTGAGATAAACCTTGCGCAKCGCTGCTCAGGAGGCTACTCCCTCTTTGGAAGTTCAAAAAACCTGCTTAAAAGGAATAAAGGCCCGTGTGCTTTCTGCACACAGCTGTGTGCTTTTAGCATGGGCCACATGTTCCTCCTGCACCACAGGCCCCGTGGCCAAGCGAATTCCGCTGTTCTGCTTCTCATGCCCAGCCAAGTGCGTCGGGCCGTCCATCCTGCACCCCAGAGGCAGCTGCAGCCGCGTGGGAAGGGGCTGGAGAGCTGCGCCCAGGCCACTGTCGCAGGCGGGAGCTGTGCCCAGGCCCCTTCCCTTGTCTTTCGGCAGATTAGCCAGAGGAATTTCCATTGCAGGGCTTGATTGTTTGGGGCCCTCGGCTCCCTTTTGTGCCTGAGCARTGAAAAGTTGTGTTATGACAATGGCTGACAAAGTGCTTAATGAAAGCAGGAGCTGGCGGTGGCGGAGCTCTGAGGCATCCTCCTCCTCTGCTGCCTGTCATCAAGGGGTGCAGAGACACTTGGGACATAACCTTCCCCGCTGACAGATAAATGGTTCTGGTGTACAGGTCGGAAACCCTCACCTCACTGAACCAAATTTGGCCATCTTCTTAGTGAGGAGACCAGCAGCAACACATCCATTTCTTCTGTTACCTATCAAGCTTGCTCTGAAATGAGGGGTGGTTTTACTCAGCACCAGCCGTATCCCCGTAGCCCAGGCAGCACTTCTGCATTAACCTGCTGCCTACCCTGCRCCTTCCCCAGGAGGCAGGACTGGTGTCTCGGGGTTTAAGGAGCTCCTGCTGATCCCTCCTTGCTGCTGACACATCTTTCTGCAACACCCTTGTTGCCCCCGGGAGATGGTTTGGAGGAAGGCTCTGTGCCTGCTCGTTTAGCACAGCCTGCCTTTGCTTAGTGGTACTCGGCGATCCCCAGTGTCATTTTTACAATGCTAAGTCAAGGCAAACACAGCTTTCTTGTTCAGAGACAGGCAGGGCTAAACAGAGCGTGGCCCTTCCCTTATGGATTTAATGCACTCTTAGTTCCTGGTTGTGGATGTCTTAGTGACAGGAGGGGGAAAAAACTCTATGTTGTTGGATTAGCCACCACAAGGAAGAAGTTAAACACATGTAATAGCTGAATAAAGCTAACTAAGGAGCAGAAATGTGACAGAGGCCAGTGCCACAAGAGCCTTTCCCAGGGCTTGGTGTTCCCGGCTGCTGCTGCCCTGGGCTGCTTGTCCAGAGCCCCCGGGAGTTGCAGGGGCCGTAGCAACGTTTGCACCGTGTGCAGGGGGGCCCCTGTGCACCTCCCGGTCCGAGTTCCCACTGGGATTTGCGGTCCTGGAGCCCGACCAGGACCTCGTATCGCCAGCCTTGGGTGAAGCAAGACCACGTGAACCTCAGTTTTATTTACCGTCTAAATAGACGGGACGGACAAAGGGCRGCTGCGGAAACAAAAGCTCYGGAGAGGTGATGGGATGTGACCTGGTCACGCAGCAGGAGATGGAGAGAGGCAGCCGCAGCAGGAGATGGAGAGAGGCAGCCATAGAACRGAGCTTTCCTGCCTCCTGCTCCCACTGGTGTGTCCATGGGGGTTCGTTGGATCTTTTTACCACTTGCAGCTTCTGACTGCCCTCCAAATACTGTTCAGCAAAGGGAATCTGGGCCTGGGAAGCAGATCCTGGCATCGCTGATGCTTCAGGGCAGAAATTCCTGGATGTTTTGATGCAAGCTAAAATACAACTAGTTAAAGTACAACTGCAGGGGAATMGAGTAGAGCTGTTTGTTTTGGTGAATCCATCTATTTTCAAGTCTTCTATTCATTCTGCACCAATACTTTAAGTAGTGCAAAGATACTGCTCCCATAGACACGGTAATATGTGACATGGACACAGAGGGATTCCTGTCATGGCAGAGCCAGCGTGTGGTTGTATTTCCCCCTTACAGTTTGTCCCTAGCATTTGCCCCTGCTTTATTTTTGTTGTGTTGAACCTATAGGATGTTACCTGTTGTACGTTCCTCTGGTTTTGCCTGTACTGCAGACAAGGACAAGCTTCAASCTGATCTCTTTTTTTTAAGGAAAAAACTAGTAATATAATCTGTGGGCAAATTGCACTTTAATTTGTAATTGYGCTATGAATATGAACTTGGCTTTCAAACACGCTCAGTTTAAACTGCAGTTTGGCTTTTATTTAGATAAATGCCTTGGAGTTCCTAGTGAAATGGATATCTGCTGCAAGTCGCTATTGATTTTAAAAGGCTCTTGAGTGTTTTAAAAGACAGCAGGGACTTACAGGGGAGCAGAGTTTAGACCTAGATGCTTGGTTGCGTTTCACACTCCAGGGCAGCCCTTAACAGTGTCCAGCCCTGAAGCTGCCCCGTGCTTTGGCTTTGCAGTGTCCCCCGTCACTGCTTCCAAGCCAAGCAGACACACGAGGCGGGGAGGACCGGCCCCTTCGCTAGCCCGACTGGCTCCCTGCTCCGAATAGGCAGCCCAGTGTTTGGGCTTATCTAAAATCAGCCATGCRTCTTTCAGGTTGTGTTCAGAGGTGCTGTAAGAAGGTGTGACCTCCCTGCAGAGGAGACAGAGGGTTGGATTTTCCTCGGGATAATATCCTAGAGCAGGGTGTGGAGGGATAAAATTAAAGTAGATCCCCTTGCAATTTCCTTACAACTCCTTGTGGCTGCTATTCTTGCTGCCGCCCATCAATTTGCTACCTCCTTAACATTGCTCATAGGCTGTAACACCCCAGCACTGTGTACATCATATTAATTAGGCCATTTGTTAATTTTCACYTCATTAGTCACTTGCTCTTAATTGGCGTGTGCTGTCCTCATAAGCCCTAAGTGCAAGTTTGACTCTTCCCATAGCAGTGTGCTGGCAAAGTGCACGTGGAGGGGAGACTTTTCCTGCTGCCCCATGGGCAACAGCAGAGCATGGAGGGGCTGCTCGTGTCTTTGGGATCGGGACTTTGGGCTTTCTCCAAACCCCGRATTTGTTATTTTGTCACTCAGTGAAGTATTATAATACAATTWCCCCAGCAGGTAGATGGGAAGCATTGCCTGGGGTAGCTGTGGAGCAAAACATTTACTATTGCATGAGGTTGCAGTGCAACAGCAGCAGGTTGAAAGCTGTAGTCATCAATTTTTAAGGAGAAAATTAACCATTCAGTGGTATATTAATGTTATAATCTTGCTAATAAATATAAGAAATGCATACTAAATGTGCAGGCTGCTATATATGTATGTGTGCTATCTGTGTAGCATGTAGTGGTAYATAAAAAACTCCCTGTGTGTGCAGATATAAAAACATAGCAGTAGGTTTAACTGCTTAAGTTCAGACTTTAATTTCTCAGGAAATGCTCTTTATCTGCAATTAGTTAACATGGCTATGAGTAGTAAAAGGAAAACAGTAAATGTAATTGTATAATATTAAGCTAAATCAGCTGTATGTGCTAATTTAAAAGAAGAGAATGCTTAAGAGAATTAGATAACACGTGATCACAAAGTTAAAGCGACTGCCTAGTTCATTCAGCAGAGAAGTGCTGCTCAGCCCTGTTTCTCAAAAGTTCTTCTGAAGACAACAGCTCATCTCCCCGTGCAATCCAGAGCAATTAGGACAGGGTTTTGCTGAGCATGGTAACTGCAGGCTGCTGATCTACTGTCTTGTCTTTTCACAGAAACCTGAGCCACAACAAGCTGACTGAGATTGATCCTTCCTCCTTCGCGGGGCTTTCGAACCTGCAGGAAGTGTAAGTGTTCCTTGCAAGGCTTTAACTTTGTTTTCATAGGGAAACTTATTGAGCAGAAGGAAACTGTATACAGTTTCCCAGGACAGTGCATTCCATTAGCCAATGTGGATCACTAGATCTACCTTGTTATGAGTGCTTTTCATACTCTACCTGTGCTGTCTTTTTTTCCTTTATTTTTCTTAAATCAGTCAATTTCGGAACACAACATCCCAATGGAAGGAGCCCAGCTGCTAGTGGAAATCCCTGGTGTTTGCCTCCCTCTCCATCTTGTGCAATGCTCCGAGGGAGATGTTCAGCTAACACACCTGAGCATACACACAAAGCTCCTTGCTGAAAGGATAACCCTGGAGCAAGGCAGAACAGCCCGGATCGTGATATCTGATGCCARCCTAGCCCAGGTCTCCCAGGAAACAAAGGTGTAGTGTAGTGGATAACAAAGCACTTAACTGTGTCTCCTCCTTTCTTAGACATTTGCACTGCTCTTGGAACTGGAGCAAGTTTTGTTTGAAGCCTGCTAGGAGAGCCTAAAATTACAAACTTTCTTTCGATTTGGTGGAGGAAGAGAAAGGAATAATGGAGGTTTGAATAGCTTTTAGAGATTTTTTTCTGCAGTTTTGGAAAAAAAACAAATGCCGTTTTGGGGAATCACAGGATTTCTGGACTCCAGATCTGTGTAACCTCAGCAGTTAAAGTCCATTGAGCTGTTGTGCTTGTCAGCTCTTCCACAGGGATTCCCAAAGCTCTGATTTGGGGTTTGGGAAAGTGAAAGTGACTGAAATCTTAAGCGATGGGTTGAGGTAACGAGCGCTCATTTGAATGCTGAATCGCTGGCATACTTGAGGTTTGGGCTCTGTTTGAAGAGCTACTGATGCCTCATGGGAAACTGAGAAAACATTTCCCTCCCGAAACAATACGGAGCTCTGTGCGCAGCGCTCATCTGCTCTTGTCCTCTGTCGGGTTTCATTAAGGCTTGGCTCTGGGGCTCGTGGAGGGGCCAGATTCTGTGGCCCTTGAGGAGGCAAAGCAGTTTGCTGCAGGGGGCTTCTGCCTGACCAGTGTCTGCAGAATTGGGCCCTGGGGATTAATAAACTGTCTCTCYACCTGCCTAGTCTCCTATGGCTCCTCTGCTTATGCAGAGTATAAGTTGCTTACCAGGGAGCATGATTTAATGAGGAATTTGCATTGGGAGTGACTGCAGCTCCCCGACATATGCTCATATTCACCTTAGCAGTGAGGGAGGGGGGAGAGAGGTGATTCAGGTGAGCAAAATGCTTCCTCTAGGATCTGCTTGCTCAACTGTTCTTTAAACTATGGAAAGCCTTAAATTGTTGTGTGCTTAGAGAACAGAATCAGAGCTCTGATCYCATGAGCCCGTAGAGTTCCTCTAACATGTCTGTGGCTTAGCAAGAGCTCTTCTTAGTGGAAGCGCCTGAGGGCATGCGGCTTTGGGGAGCCGGGATTGGGAAGGATTTGTTGGCTTCCGACTGCGTGGGTCGTGGGCTGCCTTGTGCTGCAGCAGTGAGGGCAGGACGGGCTCCACATGGAGCAGGTAACTTAAAAAGAGTCAAAGGGAATTAAGTAACATGGCCCGCAAAGTAAGGGYGCAGATAAGAGCTGCTTGCTGAGATAGAAAAGCAGGCTGAGGGGCAAGGGAAGCGGAGAGATGAGTAGGAGGGAAGGCGAGAAGTCAGACATGGGAGGCCCAAAGAACCCGAGGGCTGGAGTGGAGCCTGGAAGGCAGCYGCTGGAAAGCATGAGGGAGAAGCTCTATTAAAAGCCCTATCTACCCATCTTGGTTGCTTTTGAATAACAGCTAAACCACAGACCACTGAAAYAAACTGTATCTCACAGAGAGAACCACATCTGTACTGCCAGAGCATCTCCTTTCTGAGCTGTGTTTTTCTTAAGTGCTTTACAAACATTCATGAAACAAGCATCGTGCTGGGGCATGTCTGGAGAGCAAGTCCGTGTTTTCCTGTGTGCACTGTGCTGGGCAAACCCAGGCACCCTCGGGGAAAGAGATTGCCCCAAATAGAAGAGATGCATTGATAAGGCCTGAAACCTCCCGGGATGCTCTGAACGCTCAGCCTGAGCCTGGGGTTCCTGGGCCTTGCACAAGAGGCTCAGAGCTCTCTGTAGGACTCTGCATGTGCATGATTAGCTCAGTGTATTTTGAAAACCTTTATTTTSCCTTGATTTTTAAGAAGATGTCCCCAAAACAAAAGATTTCAACTTCATAGCTTTTGATGCTTCTGTTTTGGTTTATGAAGGTGGTAATAAAATAATAGCCCTCTTTCCCCTTTTTTTTCCCATTTTTATCTTCCTTTGGGTTTAGCGGGTTTTCCTGTTTTTTCAGCAAAGCTTTCACCTAAGTTTGAGCTTGGGTGGGATGAAATGTGGTAGCGCAAAGCAACACGAAACCCCCTGGTCGTGCATGATTGAATGCGTCAGTCCCCTACAAAGGGAGCCCTTCACTTGCCGCCTGCAGCTTTCGGGGTTGGTTGTCCACCAGTTTTGTGCCTGTTCCTCCAAAAGGCACAATGGGGAGTTTTTCAGGTGCCAGTGGAGCTCTGAAATAAGCCCCTTATGGAAGGCTCCAGTGTTATGTTACTTACCCCTTCAGGAGGGCTAGACTTTCTCTCGCGTCCCCTTCATTGTTTCCTCTAAGGACCATCCCAATCCCAGGGTCTCTCCAGTTTGACACCTGGATTGAGAGGATGGGGGGTCCTGCCCTGTGCAGGTCCTGTTGTCCCTGGTCGAACAGACCATGGGACCCATGAGTGATGGTTGCAYCATAGTCCTGTTTTCCAAGCTCATTCTACAAAGTAGTAGCAATGGTGCTGAAAACCCTCCCCAAACAACTCACCTTTTATTTTCTAAAGTGCCTTTCACTGAAAGCCCTGGAGAGCTCTGCTATTTTTGAGCAGGCTCCATTTCAGCTTGACACCAGCCTGGCAACTTGACCGTAAATATTTTATACGGTGGCCCCCCTCTTCCTCCCCTCTGTTACCATCCAGAGGCAGCAAATTTGTGTCCTCAGAAAGCAGGGCAAGGGAGGAGAAAGATAGAAATTTGAAATTTCCTGAGCAAGAAGTCTGGTGGTTTGGGGTTGTTGTGTGKTGKTTTTTTTTTTTTTTTTTTTTTTTTTTTTTTTTTTTTTTTTTTTTTTTTTAATTCCTTTACATGTGTGGAGGGAGTTGAGGAGAGGGAAATCCCAGACCAATTGCCAGCTTGGCCTTCTCCACTGCATCAGCCATGGGGGCCGTGAGCCAAGCGAGAAAAGGAGGTGGGAGAACAACTTCTGTCTGCTGTTCTGCTGGGGAAGAGCTGACAGGGCAGCAGCCATAGATGAAAATCGCTTTGATGTCAGAGGGGTTTGAACACTTGTTGGACACAGAGTGGTGTCGCGGCTGCTGAGCCAGAACTGCCTCGCGCTGCAGGAAGGTGGCCCCAATTCTCCCTGTTCTCCTGGGCTTTTCAGGGAGATGCTTGGTTGGATGCTGATTAAAATATGGTACGTGTGTGTGTTAAGGCTCTTTCCAGCTCCCCTTGTACCTCAGGAGGCTCTATGCCTCGTGTTCGATATGAGCAGCAGTGAGCTGCTATCTGTACCGTCGAGCTCCTTGCTGAATCCCAAGAGGTCCGGCTCTTCTCCCCTGCGTTTGAAGTACGGCTGCGATGGTAGAGGCAGAGCTGAGGACGAGGGGAGCTCTTACCACACAGGGCCTGGACCTCTGCGTGAAATCAGATCTCTTGGCTGCTCCCCGAGGAGTCAGAGGAAGCTCTGGGGTGGATGTGTTGCTGCCCTAGCCCACCAGTCAAATATATTTTAAAGGTGGTGGTGGGAGGCGTCAAGAAAAAAAAATAAAATAATGCTAAAATGGGGATTGTCCCCATTTAGTGCCCAGTCCCCTGGGCACTGCAACCCATGGGCCTCCCGTTTTGCTGCTGCACTAAGGGGCAGAGCTCAATGCAGGCAGGGCTGGGGGGCACCCGGCAGGGCAGGAGCCRAGTTCTGCCTCGCGCAGGGCTGCTCTCCGTGCCCCGAGGCTGCTGGGGGCTCCTCCGGTGCTGCCCCTCGCCAGGCCTGGCAGGGCCTGGCTCTAATTGCTTCAGCGTGTGGAGAGTGGCGGGATGGCAGAGAAATTAGGTAATTTTCAAGCAGCCAGACAAGCGCCTGTTACAGTAATTAATTGGCTAATTCGCCATACAAACAAGGGTCCTTTAAACCGAGGAAGAGCCCGTCACAGGGCAAGGATCTGTTTTCAGTCAGAAAAACACTTCAAACATCAGGCTTGATGGGGGGACGTTTTTGTGCTGGCTGGACTGGGGTTTCCAAGTGGGAGGAAGGCGCTTTGTGAGCCGTGGTAGGGATGATTATAGTGGCTCTCATCTGAAATAAATTAAAGCCTCTGTTGGGACTGAGAGATGAGACTGGGGAAGGGGCAGCAAACCCCCTTGAGATGGAGAGCTCTGCCCAAGCACGAGGGCACCAGGTGAGTCCATGAGGGCAGATAATGATGAGTCGTGTGTTTCCTTGCTCTAAATGCTGAATTTCTGCTTGTTACAGGCGACTGAACAACAACGAGCTGACTGCCATCCCATCTTTGGGAGCTGCTGCTTCCCACGTCCTCGCCCTTCACCTGTGAGTTGCTCCAGCCTCCTTACCTCTTTTTTTCTTTCATTGTTTTTTTTTTTTTTTTTTTTTTTTGCTTTCACTGTCTGTTGTTGTTTGTGGAACAGATGTGACTTACTCATGCAGAGTTTCGGGTGCGTCACACCCACTCTTGTTAGCTCGTTGATACCTTAATTAAGAAACCTCTTCTGGAGTCCCATGATTTATGTGAGATGGGTTGATAAACCCTGCGTTGTTCCAACACAGTTTGCGAGAGCAAGGCAAAAGATAACACCTRAAAGCCAATTAGAAATCTGCAAACGCCAGAATAGATCCTGTCTCTGATATTTAATTTCTGGAGTGATTCAGAAAGCCAACCACTTCATCTGTCAGCTCTTCCAAGGCTGTGGAAATGCCTTCCATACTCCCCAAAGTCAGTTCGTTGCAAATCTGGATTTGTGTGTGACTGGAATGGAGCGTCTTAAATCCTGCTCGGGCTTTAAGCGAACAGAACAGAYACAAGCATATAATACAGACAAACATAACTGATACAATTTGCTCTTCAAAGCCTGATCTTGGTTGCTCTGTGACTCCCTGACCTGTGCCCCAGCAGAACCCTGCAAAAATACTTGCAGTTGTTATTCAGGTGCAGGGTTCAGTGGCCAGTGACCCGTCGCAGATAATTGCAGCGCACTGGGCTTCCGCGCAACGTTCAGGAGCACCAGCATGGGCAATTATGGACAATTATGGAATAAGACACCCCTAGGAGAAATTCAYACTCGAGGCTATCAGAGGGTCACTGTTCCTGCTGCTGGAGGAACACGGATATTCCTTTGCAGCTTTGGGTTTGTGTGTGTTTATTTGGTTTTATTGTTTTGTGATTGTTCTCATTATTCTCATAAACATCTCATTCTTTGCCAARCTACTGAAATCTTATGGTCAGAGATAACTGGTGGCAGTTGATTCCACAGATTAGTTATATTTTGGATGGAAGTACRTTCTTTTGCATTTTGCCTTTAGGTTTCAATCATTATCTCATTCCTGTGTTGTGCTAATAATTTCTCCTCTCTTTATTGTTCTTATCCCTTTTTTAAAAGCCAAGAGAACTCTTCATGACCTATTCTTCCAGGGGACTCATTCCAGACTTCCAAACATTTTTATAGCCGCCCTTTCAACTTCCAATTTTTTTCTTTTGAGGAAGTGACTCGTCAAGGTTAGATCCGGGTGCAGGGGTGGGTTGCGTCTCGGCAGATCAAGGTTAGAACCTGTGACGTTCCTAACTTTGGGAGTTCAGTTACCTGAAAAAGGCCTTGGGAATCTGCCACCAAGGGTCTCGGTTTGGGGGCAGTGCAGAAGGGAGTAGTGACATTGAAATAGCTCTTGTATTAAACCTTTAGTATCTTAAGAGTGGGGTTTTCTGAAATTATTTTTGCATGTGTCTGTTTCTAATGCACACGRAGAAGGAATTTTGCTGAGGTATGCATGATGCCTCCCAAGTTCCTGGGAAAAGGAAGTGGTTACAGTTAATATGGATTCCAGCAACGTGCTGGGGCAGCTCAGGGGATGGTTTCCAGTGTGTGTGACCTTGCAGTGTCTGGCGAGGGGCAGGTGTCCCATCCTTTCATAACTGTGCAGAATTTACTTCTCCTGTGGTGGATAATACCGGTATCCAGACAGGGGATTGGTCCTACAGGGCCTGAAAAGACTCTAAATTACTCTGGAACAACCTTGATCTGTTGACTAAAAATACATTCCTATTACTGAAACCACGGATGAAATAGAGTGAAATGAATTGGCAGCGCTCCTGCTCTTCCATTAGGCAGTGTTAAAATATGCAAAGCAGAAGAGCTCCTTCCCTCAGTTAATTCAGTTTAGGCACCTTAGGTTAAAATTGGCATCCATATCTTTCTCCTGGCATGAAATAAGAGTAGCTTTTATTTGAGATATGGTGCGTTTGATCTGGGTCTTGSTTATGGCGTGCATAAAGACCTAGAAATATTCCTGCGCCAGCCCTGACTCTGGATCCGATGTCCTCCAGTTAAATGGAGAAATAATCACTTAATTCCCTGGGTTTAGGGGTAACTGGTGTCTCGGCAGCTACCAGACCCACTGAGTGCATCAGTTGGTGTGAAATCAACTTGTTTGGTTTCTGCCTCCTACCTCTTCCCACTGCTGGGGCCATGGGCCGTCCAGGTCCATGAGCAGGGGACCGCAATCCACAATTCCCCCTCACACGGAGCTGCGTAGCCTGCTGTGTAGCATCTCTTCAGACACCTCTCACAAGGATGGAAAGCCCATATGGAATTTACTCTGTAGGATACTAGAGAGCTTTAGGCCCCCCAAATAGGCTTCCCTTTCTCACCAAGTCTATATACGATCGGAGTTTCAAAAGCCCCGTTGTTATTTTTGCTATTAATTTAGCCCCTGGCAGAGGACCAAATTGCAAGAGCTTTGGCATTTTATTTCTGCAATGAAATAAGTGGTTTGGAAAGGAGGAATAATGACTAGTGGAAGGCAGCAGATTTACTGCCCCTCTGAAATTTCAGAGGGTACACRAGGAAGGGCAAGGTACAAAGCCAAATGATAAAAGGATGGTGTTTTAAACAGACCTGCTCAATATCACTTTCCAGAAATCTGTATTGCTTTCCTCAGCTGCTACACATAAATAACTCTGGTGATAGGGGGATTTGTGAGGCTGCTGTCATACCTCTGCAAGAAAGGCCTCTCTTTACCCTGTTTCAGAGAATGCCACTGAGTTTTGTTCTTTTTTTTTGCCTGAGTTTCCATTATTTCTTTTTCTGCGTGATAAAAGTAAAATGGAAGCACGATTTGAAGTACCTGTTTTAATCAGCATTGATGAGTAAGTCGTGTTGAATAAAGTGCTGGGCAAGTACAGCTGTTGTCATCGCTGGGAGTCCTTAAATCGGCTCAATGGCCTCCTAAAAGATGGACCTTTGCTCCCGGGGGCGTTTCTGGGCTCCATGCTGGGCTGCCCTTGTGGGCTGGTAGGAGGCAGGTTATATGATTGCACTGGCTCCTTCTGCCCTTCAAATCTGTGAAGCAGTAATTGGGGAGGCTGCCAAACCAAACCCAGAGTGAAGGCTCATAATGAAGACTGTGTACTGAGAAATTGGTTTAGGTTTAAGTATATAGTGTTCCTGTGTGTTCTTACTGTTAAAGAAAAATAAATACGTTTCGGGTGGGTTTTTTTCAGTGTTTATAAGTGTGTGAAGTGTGTTTACCTCCAAAACCTCTCAAGTAGGTTTTGTGTATTGCATGTGGTTAAGCATTTCCAAAGGGCTGTGAACGAATTATGGGAGCAGCAAGTATCTATTTGTCATTCAAAACAGCGCTTTGGAAGGGGTTAATCCCTCTCCTGCTCCTCCTGAGACGGGGAAGAGACTTTCTCCCCTTTTGCTGCTGTGCTTGTGAGATCCGCCATAGGGTTAAGGCAGCGTGAGCGAGGTTTTTAAATCAACTGGTCTGTTTGGGATGCCTCACTTTGGAGTCAAGGATGGGAAAACTCCATCACCCCAAAACGTGCTTGGCCCCGTGTGTGCAGACTGTGGGCTGTTCCACGCCTGTGAACATGTGTGAATTAGTTGGGGGGAGAATTCCCAAGGTTTACTGCAAATCTTTGGGTGTTTCAGGCTGCAGAGGGAGGCAGCTATACCATGTGTATGAAACATGCTCTGCCTGGATATATTGCCGTGGAGTATAATTCAGCTTAATTATTCCTTGAAGGGTCTGTTTGCCTTGCACGTTGAAAATGCTGCCAAAGTAGTTCATCTCAACAAGAGCAAACATAAGGGACTTAATAAAGCTTTTAATAGAACAGAAGGGAAGAATAATCTATGTACGGGTTACCAAATACAGACAGACATTAAATGCAAACATCTGTTAGCGCAAACAAAAGCCAGGAAATTCAGCTGGGAGGAGGAGAGACTGTGAATCTTGAGTTATTCCGAAATTGCATCGGAGTAGCTGAGAGGAGAATCTGGCCTGAAATTCCCACAGCATTTGTAACTTAGCTAGAGTTCCTCGATTTGGACGTTGGAGAGTTGATGGCAGGATGTTTTCACTGACATGCTCTTGGCTGAGGATTTCCCTTCCCAATGTGCTGCTGCAGCTCAAGAGTGTTAACTCTCTAGGCCCTTGGAAGGACTCTCTGCTCGGGGTTTTATCCCCTTCTGAGGGGAAGGGGAAGCTGGAGGCAGCAATGTATTTGCCGCAGAGCTGGTGAGTTGATGCGGATTTCTGGCTAGCCTGAGCGGGGAGGTGCTCTGCCTTGGTCTGGTGCTGCAGCTTTCCCACTTGGAGCCCAAGGTCAGCCCTGGTACAAGTTCAGGCCATACTCTGGAACATTCCTAGAAGTGAGTTTGGTCTTGGAATTCTGTCCCAAGCTCTTAGATCTAGAAGGACGGAGCATGGCTGGTGTTTAACAGTCCTGACCCGTTTTAGCCCAGGGCTGCCAGCATGGGCTGCTTCGCGCTGCCAAGCTCCAGAGCCAGCCCATGGACAGAGCAGCCTCTGTGCCACGTCCTTGGCCGGCTAGGAACTGAGGAAGTTAACAGATTAAACACTTTGAAGTAACTTTCTTTTTTCCCAACCACTGTAACTCTTGAGCCTCCAGCCTTTAGGAACAAAGGGGACAGTGACCCAGGGTACTCGGCTGTCTGTTGGCAACAGCCAAAGCTGTCTGGGGTACTCTGGCCCCGTGATCTTGCTCTGAATAAGCATGGATGACGAGGAAGTCAGAGTGAGGATTTTTGGAGCAAAAGAGTGTGAAATAGGATTAGCTGATTCACAGAGGATGCAATGACGCTGCAGTGTATTTACAGGGGGAAGCGAAATCAATAGGACTGCTCTGCTGCCAAACTGAGCTTAAAAGTCTCTGGAAGAAAATCAATCTTCTTTACAGGCTCATTAATGTAAAGATCAATTCGCATTAAACTGTAATTAAACAGAAAGGGCTAATAGGAGAAGGGTAAGTGATCTAGTGTGCCACAGGCAAAATAGATCATGTAGAA